AGTTGCTCACAGGATGACCGGATGGGATGGCAGGGTTAAAGATGAAGTCTGTGACCAGGGAAAACAAAGGTGACTGGCTCAAATGAGCTGGGGACCCACAGCCTTGGCCTCCCAGATGGGCTCTAAAGTAGTGAGGCTGGCTTAGATGGGTTGTGTGTATGTCTGGAAAAGGTTAGAATTGATTGTTGAGAAGCCAGGGTTGTGGGTTTGATCTCTGAATAAGCCCCGTGAATTTTAGAAAGCCCAGAAATTCTATTTTTCCCATGTGCTGTTGATAAGAAAGAGGAATGAGGAAAGAGAATTTGGAGATTCAGCACAAAAACACTACTACTGGAGAAAAATCTTGAGTAACAGAGGTCAGTAATGTCATCTTCATATATGAAGGACACATGTGGTGCATTGTTCACAGAAATAGAAATGTGTAATTGGTTGTGATAAGTGTTTCACTTGAATCTTCGTGTAAGGCTTTTGTTTTCTCTTATTTTTTAAAGTCAGCGAAACACATTTTGTTTGTGTCATCGGCAAGTCATAATCAGGAATAGGAGAGAAGTTCAATCGATATTAAGGTGACATGGCAATATTGATAACTCGAATGTGAATGTTTCAAGTACTGAGTTTTTGTCCCTATGGGACATTTATTAAATACACTTAATAGGACTCTTGCAAAGTAGCCTTAAAAGTGTTAATGATTCTATTGATAAATATGAATTCATACTATTATTAGAACCAATCTTACTCATATCTCAAATACAGTACATTTACATTACTGTAGAAGATGAAGCTCTAATTTCTTATTAGGTGTATTTTTCTTTAGAAGAGAACCCTGAAAGCTGCCAGTTTTTCTATTAACCTTGAATTATTGGAATTGTATTTATTTAATTTTATTGTTTTTTTACAAAAATGCACCTTGTGGCCAAAGGGCAAAGATATGATTCATTACATAAGGGATTTATGTTTTTCAAAGAGCTGAATGTTTTCATATCCATACTATGTACACTTGAAACAGTTGGTAGGAAGAGGGTCTGTGGGAAAAATATGATTTTCAAAAGTAAGTATTCCTCTGGATGTTTCTGTATTACTTGTGTTTTGGAATAGGACAGAACTGGCTTTTAGGTAGGATAAGGATGATAAGGGTGCTGAAGATGCCCTGCTTTGCCTATTTGTTTTTGTGGGGGATTTAATAGCATGACTAAAAATGGCTTTTGCTTCATGAAAAAGACTAATAAATAGTCCCCTCAATTAAAAATGCCTAAATAGCTATTTTAAAAATCAAATGTTTAAATTTTGTAAATCACCTGATGTCACTACACACCTATGACGCCATGTGCTTATAACTGTTTTAACATTCCATCTGCGCCCGTTCCCTAAAAGTTATGAGTTGGTGATAAGGGAAGTGATAGAAAATACAGTAATGAAAAATTAAAATCTGAATGTATGTAGGAAAGGTTTTCGAAGGAAAATTGGAACTCCTGTGTACTTACAAAGTACAGCCAGTATCTTTTGTCTCTCTTCCTTATCCCCCCATCCCTACTGGAATCCTTACCAAAAATAATTCACTACTTTAAAAACAGGAGTAAATAATTTTCTCAGTATTGTTTGGCTATGCAAATGTTAGGTTTGCTTAATGTCCTCCATTTACACTTCTCAGCAAATGTAGTTGCAGACAAATGCTTTCTTTTTATTTTTTCCTTGGTTTGGGGTATGTAAATAGCCTAAAATGTACATTGAATTTCACATTGTAAAAGTTTATTTTATTCCTTGTATTATATTAAGCAAAAATCCCTATGTATATGAAAGTGCATAATAAATATATTTGCTCTACAGAGGATATCTTGTTTTAATTTTACCCTTGAACCAGCAGAACATGCGTGACATGTTTACAGTGAAAACGACTATTAGTTTTAAGTTGTTAACTTACTTTAAATAAATAGAAAATGAATTTGGAAACATTTTACCAAAAAAAAAAATGAGATATAAAAACTTCACAAAAGAAGGTAGAAAAACAAAAAGATCTAGACTTTATGTCTTCCAAAACCTTCTGTAAGGACTTAGTGTTTTTTTTCTTTCTTCCTTGATTGATAACTATATAACTACTGTACCTCACCATGTCAGGCTTCATGATTCGGAAATTGCAGTAAGCCAGTCAGTTGTGTGTATGCATGCCCCTTGGTCGTCAGAATATTATGGCCATCTCACATTTGATATTTTGGAGTTTATTGCAAGTATGATCATTTCTGTGTATTCTTCACTTGGTAAAGTTGAGTCACTTCATGATCCGCTTCTCCCACCAGAACACAACATCGTATGTATGTATGTGCACGTGTGTGTTTATATACAATATATTAATTACTCCAGGGAGCGGTTTCTAAAAAGGCCAGCAAGGTATTCTGTGTTAGGTGATCTTATGATAATTACAGAGTTCTGCAGTAATTACCAGATATCATTTATAAATATGTTGGATTAATAAAAATTTGACTTGAACTTTTTAATAACAATGTTTAAATGCAAAGGGCTGGTGTACTTAGAATTCTGAAACAGACGGTTGACTAAAACTTATATGGAGTTTTCTAGTTGGTGATCCAGAGAAATACACTGTGAGAACTTGGCAATGACTACGATTTTCACTCCTTTGCCCTAGTAGTTGGAAGGATTCCAACTAGTAGTAGTGATACATACTCTTAAGGCTTAGATTCCTGGATTTGGGGGAAATTTTCATTAAGCAAATACATGCACTAATCTTACTTTCAAGATAGGGCTTCTGCTGGCTTGTTAGTACAGTAAAATTAAAATTATCCAGTATTAAAAAGGAGTCATTTGAAATTTACTGCATATTTAGATTACTACTCTTAAATGTACACAGTCATTACCCACACTGACAAAATTTAAATTACAAGAAACATATTCATAGAAGAATATATTTCTAATGTTTAGAAGAAAGTTTTACTTTCAGCCTTTACATATTTTTGGTCTACATGTTAAAAAGTGAGGTAACAATAGGTCCCAAAAGAAGTGATGTACAGTTTTAGTGAGTGCTACTCCCATTTTGTTTGTAAAGTTATGCTGAACTAAAACATACAGGAAAATAAACAAATCTTAAGACACTGTCCTATAATTTTTTACAAATTGAACATACCTCCTTAGCCATCACCCTGACCAAGATGTAGACCATAACCATATATCTAAGGATAAACCTCCTGTATCTGAAACTAATGATTATTGTGAAGATAGAGGGTAAAAGAAACCATGTGATTTTATGAGATTTGATGGTGATTTAATAACTCCATTAGTAGCTTTTAGTAGGTAAAGACATAACAAACAAACACTGTATACATGCAAAAAAAGAAATGCTATAATTTTGATTAATTCTCATAGAGAAAGACAACTTATGCATTTACAAATACCTGCTAAAAAACTGTGTGCATGTTTTATTTTTCTTATTTTTTTATTTTTTAAAGATTATTTATTTATTTATTTATTTGACAGAGAGAGACACAGCGAGAGAGGGAACACAAGTAGGGGGAGTGGGAGAGGGAGAAGCAGGCTTCCCGCGGAGCAGAGAGCCCGATGCGGGGCTCCATCCCAGGACCCTGGGATCATGACCTGAGCCGAAGGCAGACGCCCAACCGACTGAGCCACCCAGGTGCCCCCTGTGTGCATGTTTTAAAAGTACTGTAAGTTCAGTATATCCAAACCTAAAGCCATCAACTTTCTCATTAAACACCAATCCTCTTAACCTTTGTGAATAGTTTTCCATTCTACTTTAAAGACACTAAAATGGGCTACTGTAGGTGATGCTCTATGGGTGTGGCTTATGCTCAGAAGAGGACCTGGAAATCCCTTCAGGGAGCCCTTCTTGGTAGAAAAGGCTTTGGTCCTTCCTCAAGAAATTAACCAAGGGATGATGCACTGTTACATACTTTAAGTTAAAATATAGTGTGACTAAAATTTTTAATAATTAACTCAAAGGTTTAATTAGAAAACCAAATATCCATCCTCACTGAATCACTAAGACAGCTCCTACTTTACACATCGCTCTCCCGGGCGTGTAGGTTTAAAACTCCGAAGTAACATTACTGCACTTTGTTTCCAACACGTGTTGCTAGGTCTAAAATGGATTTTTATGTTATACCAGGTTTTCTAAATGCTGCATGTATTCTTCTCTCTTGGCCACTCATAATGCGCATCATCGTATTAAAATCTCTGAGAGGTCCTTTAGGAAAAGATAAGTTCATTTAACTTTGTATACACCAGTGTTTTTTCAAAAAATCTTTTTGATGATAGAGTGTCCTGCTCCACAGTCGTTTAAAGAGCACCTGTTAAAACATGGGTGAAAAATACATCGCAGAGTCACCTTGCCTCTCTTCGCTGCTCACGAGGAAGTAGCCATCCCCCATGGGCTCTCACCCTCCCACATTTCCTATTCCTTCCTCCCTGCCTGTTGCCACCATTCTTGGGTGGGCCTCACCTGGCCTCGCAGAACCCCCTCTTCACCAGAGGGGCCTTCTGTGCTGGACCTTCTCCAGCCCTACCTCTGTACCTACAAACTGACAGCAGATGCGTTTCTGAAAGTATGGCTCTCTTCTCATCACAGACTCCAGCCTGCCTTGAGTCTGTCTCCTCTGCAGTCTGTCCTTCAGGTAGCCACCAGTTATCTTTCTAGAGCATCACTCTGATTCTGGCTTACGCCTGCCCGGAAACCTTCGCTGTCTCCTAGCGTGTCTTACAGAACCGCACAGCTCATGCCTGTCCCGAAAAGCCCTCACAGACTATCTTTCACCCCTCCTTCCCGCTGCCGCTGCTTCCCTGTCCTCTCCAGCTCCACCCCCACTGGCCACGCACCAAACCCTCTGCTCCCCACCCCCCACAGCCATATTTGCTCTTGCTAGAACACTCCATGCTCCTTCTGAGATATATCTCTCTGCTCGCATTGATCTTTGTCCCCATCTCCCAGCCAGAGAGAAGTGCTTTGTAGTTACTGTTGTATTTTATACTTGCCTTTTATGGTTCTTCTTCTGCATTATGCTAAACATATATTGTCTTCTTTTCTCCGCCTGTAATCTTCTTTCCGACAGGAATTGAGTCTTACCCATCTTTGTATCTTTTGGATTATCTCATACATAGTAAGTGTTCAGTTACTGTTCTTTTCGTGGCACTTTCTTCTCATTCAGAAACAGCTGTGGGAGAAATATTTAAATTCTGCTATTTTTGGTCCACTTGTTAAAACATATTGAGCTTACCCGAGCTCCAAGAGTGATCAAACTTGGTAAGAAATAGTCTGTATTTTCTTATCACTGCTTTCCCATCTGTTTTATTCACTTAGTTTGTATTGAATATAGCAGAAAAACAAGCCAATTGTTTATCATTTATTAGCATACATGGTTGACCGATAGCTTGTTAGCTGATAACCTGACCTGACCTCTTTGTAACTGGAGACAATTAAGTGGAATCCAGTTTATTCTTTTAAGAAAAACTTAGTAACTCTCACTAAAATCGAGAAAACTTATCCATTTGTCCTTCAGTTATGCAGCAAGGAGGGAAAGCCGGTGGTTTTCAGGGATGCAACAAGGGCAAGTGTAGGCTGTCAGCCCTGCTCTGTATCACAGACACATCGCTCCCCGACCCTTTCCCTAGGAAGCCACTGTAAGTTCTTCTGGTAATGATAATAACAGGCATTTGATTCGAAACCTGGTAATAACTCATTTGATGTAGATCTTAATAGAAGCTGCAATGAAAATCGTTGGACATGGGGGGTGCGGGGAATAGCCCATTAAAAATGAAATAAAACTGGTGAAATAAAATTTTAAAAAATGTGTAACCAGGATGGAAAACAAAAGAAAATGTGATCTTAAAACAAAAATAGAGGCTCTAAAAGAGAAAACAAGAGGAGATTGTATAAACTAATTAATGAAGACTATGGTTTTGCCTTATTTCAAAGTTCTAAATTCTATTTCATTTGACTTGTGCAAAAAAAGCTTTCATTAAATTTTATTCACATTCATTTTATTATTTGCATTTCTCACATTTATTACTTGTTCTCTTTAATAGTAATCATATTTCCTTTCTAGTTAAATTCTTATTTAATAAAGAATGACTTTTAGTGTCCATTCGACACTGAAAATTTGTCATATTGATACTAACTTAAGACTTAAATACAAAGAGAACTTTATCCCCTCATCCCTTTGGGTTCTAATGCTTTTCATCTCCGTTTCAGGCAATTTTTTGTGACCAATAATGCAGTCATTTCAGTGCCAGCAACTTCCTATTGGAAGTGACATTTATTTATTTAGTCAGTAAATATTTATTGAATACTTAAGCAGTCACCAATAAAAGTGATAAACAAGAAAAACAAGGTTTATGCCCACAAAGCATTTACATTTTAACAGTCTTTTTTTAAAGAAAGAGTAAAAATAGGATATGATTAGAATAAAATTATAAACTCTATGAGAAAAGAGATATTCTCTTTTATTCACTGACATATTCCTAGCAGTTCTTGGTATAAAGGAGGTGTTCAGTAAATATTAGTTAAATTAGTGAGTGAATGCTTTGAAATAGCTTTGTAGCCAGAGAAAATATCTACAGAATCTAGATATTTAGAGTTTTTTTTTAATTTATGTGTCTAATATTGTCTTATTTCTAATCCCCAAACTGTAGTGAAGGTTAACCATGTTCTGTGAAAACACAATCCACAACACATATGAAACACATTAAGACCTGCAGGGTGCTAGACCAAGGCTGAGTATTTAGAAGTCTTTGGTTGAAGGAGACAAAAACCAACTCAAGCCAAAGGAAGTGTATTTGGGGGATATTAGAAACTCACAAAAGTCATGGGAAATGTGAAGAAACTGGCCTGAACACAGGGAGAGTTCAAGTTGTCTATAGATTCTAAAAAAAGGATGTTCAGAAATAGCAGGAAATATTTGTTTAGGGAGCTGGGATAAATGAATACCAATTGTTTTCATTGTGTCTGTCATTCTGTGTAAGTTTCAGTGAGGTTAGCTTGGGTCATGCTCCCATCTCTTAGCTGGGAGAGGACAGAACATCAAATCACTTTCCTGAGATCATATTCAATAGGGAATACAGAGTTCTCAAGAGGGAATTGGGGTATAATTAGGAAAGGAAAATAAATGCTAGGAAACCCCAGCTCGAAAATGCCAGCCATAGTACTTATGCCAACTGAGGCATATCAAGAATTGTGACATCACATTTTACCCCACTTATAAGCTCACAGGTCAGCGTGCCACAGTTTCATAGCTATACCAGCAGAAGACACAAGACTTGAGGTCAGAGACAAAGAACTTTCTTACTCATAGCACAGCAGACATCATGGGCTTCATGTTTGCACTGGTTCTCCTTATCCCCATGCTGTATGACAATGAAGCAGGAGCAGGCCCAGAAGGATGCCACATGCACAACTAAGGAGCTACAAGCCTAGGACTCCCGATCTTGTAAAACGGCTGCTAGCAGACTTGCCCAAACTTTGCCCCAGAGAGAGCCATCGTTTTTATCTTGGACAGCAAAGAAATCTGCCCTCCGCACTGAAAGGAAACATATATTTCCAAGGTTATTTGCTACCCAGACATCCTTAAAAAGATATTCCAGACAAATGATGTCACAAGATGGCCAGAAACATGAGGGATTCATGGCAAATTGTCTACTAACAAGATCAGAGGATGAGAGGGACAGAGAGACATTGATAGATGAAAGTCTGATTCAAATCAAAGAAGAAAAAAACCAATGTCTGAAACACTAGTTCAAAGAAACCAGAGGATAAAATAAGATTAGGGACATGTAGCTGAGAGATTTGGGTTTTGTGGGTTCAGAGGGAACAAGGCAGTGGTGCTGGTGCTGGTGTTGGGAGATGTCCTCAAACCCCAATGGTCGTGTGTTGGTGCCATGTGTCAGGCAGACTTACGACACCAAGAACAGGATGGATCTTTGTGAGTTTGTGCCTCCATCTGCTCGGTGGAACTTGGAGAATTACATAAATGTATTTGTGAAGAAGATGCAGGAACACGTGGAGATCAGGCAGAGGTGTTTGGGATTCAATCAAGAGATCAGCTTTATGCCACTGCCTTAACTACAGAGTGCTTACGCTTCACTCAATAAGCTATTCTTTGGTATTCCCAGAGTAGTGTCTGGGCCTTTCATGGTTTCCTAAGGGAGAAGAAGACTGTGGCCATCATGCTTTGAAAAATTTTCCCCAACAAACCTTACTCTGTATGATACAGGCATCTTCTCTGTCCAAACTCAGAGGTACTTCCTGGAAGAAAAAAACCAAACATAGTCACTGTAGGTTCCAGGCCTTGTCACAGGGCAGTGATGGCCATGCAAATGTGGGACTTGAGCCAAGAGTGACACCTTAACCTTTAATGGAAGAGGCGGGGCAAGAGTGGGCCATGTCCCTAGTTATCTTACCTGTATTTGTTTCTGCTGTAATGGCCTCCCAGGAATATTCACAGGAATATCTCTGCTTTGAAAACATATCAGTGGCTTCAGGGCAAAAATTAGTGTTACAGGAAAAAAACAAAACAAAACAGTCTTAAACTAGCATTAAAGAAAAAAACTTTCTTTTTAACTGAAGTATATGCTAATATAGATTGAAACAAGAGTAAGAACTTCAAGTAGTTACCCCATGGAGGTGGTAAAAAATTTAAAAAATATGTTTTAAGGGAAAGAAAAACTGGTCGGTCATTTTTGAAAATTAAGTAATGGAAAGCTACAAAGAAAAATTAGTAATGGAAAGCTAGAAATTTGACTTCTGAAGTCAAATAGAGGCTTTATCTGAAGTATTTACTCCCCCCTTTTTTTTGTAGTGACCCTATTCAAACCTCTGATAATGAATTCCTTCGTGATAATGAAGTACTTCAGAACATCTCAAAGAAAATTTTGACGTCATGGTACTAAAGCTGCTATTTAAGATATATTTCAGTCAAATATACTCATAAGGGAATGCTTAAGAATAAGGATTGAAGGTCATCTAGAATTTCCACTGGATAAAAAGCAATTATAAATAAGAATATTTCCCTAAGGTCTGAAAAATGCATATATGGGTTGGCTTAAGAACTTTCATTTTTTTAATCAATTGGTTGTTAGATAGAAATATCACTTATTTATGCCATGGATGTTGGTATAGTCCTGCTTAAAACAGTAATTTTTGATGTAAAATTTATCTTGGATCAGTGGATTTCCAAACTCAGCTGGCCATTTTAGCAGCTTCTCCGTATTTTCTGAAAACCCACCATTTTTGTGAAGCGCTGCCCTGGGTCATCTAGTTCAACTTCCTCCTTTAATGGAATGACTCGGAAAACTTAATCTCAATCATGTGACAGATCTTCTTAATCCAAGCTGAGTGGTTTCCCATTCCCAGGTTTCCCATGTCAACCTCTAAGATTTTATATTCCACTTTTTGTATTGATTATTCTGACATTCTTCCTTCCCCATAAGGGAATCCATAGAGAAGTTTGATTATTTCAAAGAAAAGTGGATCATATTTCCTTCTTTAACCTATCCCAGTACTGAACAGAGATGCCCCTGTTTTCTAATCATAGATCAGTACAGGAAACAGTAGCATATATCCCAGTTTTGAGAAATTTTTTATCCAATTTTTCAAGTGAAGATAAGCATGCTGTATGAAAATACCACCATGACATAATGAAACACATATGAACCTTGAATGAGCATAGACTAAACAGTATTATTGGGTTTCCTACTATCTCTAAGCATATCTAAATATCTACAAGGTCTAAGTTTCTGTAAGAAGAAATTGGGGGCACCTGGGTGGCTCAGTCAGCTAAGCGTCTGCCTTTGGCTCAGGTCATGATCCTAGGGATCCTGGGATCGAACCCCACATGGGGTTCCCTGCTCAGTGAGGAATCTGCTTCTCCCTTTGCCCCTTCCTCATTCCACCCCCCAACTTGTGCTCTCTCTCTCAAATAAATAAATAAATCTTAAAAAAAAAAGAAATTGATCTAAGAATTAGAGCAAAAATTTGCTCAAATGTAAGCAAACTTTTTATTTTACTTGCAAAATTGATCTAGGGTTCTTGCGTATTCTTCACCTGGATTCTTTCAGTGATAGTATATAAGCATAGTACACTTACTAAAACCAGGAAATTGACATTGAAAAACACTGTTAAAAAACATTTATAAACCTTATAAATGAGGTTAAGCCTCTGACTCTTGGTTTCAGCTCAGGTCATGATCTCATGGTGGTGAGATTGAGCCCCACATCAGGCTCTGTGATCAGTGTAGAGTCTGCTTCAGATTCTTTCTCTCCCTGCCCCTCTGCCCCTCCCCTGATTGTGCACTTGTGCGCACGCTCTGTCTCTCTAAAATAAATAAAATCATAGAAAAAAAAAAAACCTTATTTGTATTCCTCATGGTTTTCTTTCACTTTTTAATAGTTCTAAGACATTTTATCACACACGGATTTATATATAACCACTGCTATAATCAGGAAACAGAACTGTTCCATCATCCCCCAAAACTCCCTCATGCTCTCCCTTTATAATCACACTTTTCCCACAAACCAAGCCCCCAGCAGCTATGGTGACAAAAGAATTCACAGATAATTTAGTTTTAAAAGTCCAACTTTATTGAGCTAAATGTATATATTAAATAATAAAATCTGTTTAACTTTGTGTTGAAAAGCCAGTGATTATTTCTAGTGAAACATGAAATGCAAGGCAGCAATTTCCCTTTTGTCTTTCTGGATTTTATACAGAAGTAACAAGATGAACATTAACAAAAACTGCATGCTCATTTTGAGTGAAATCAGAAGACAGACATAATTTACAGATTCAAATAAAAGGGTAGGGTCTGCTGTGAGTAGGAAGAGCATCTCCCAAGCTTGGGATGAAGAGCAGCAAATATTGTTTCAGGGGGAAGGGACAGCAAGATGGCCCAATGGTGACAGAATTCAGATAACAAAAGAATGCAGCCAAAATACACTTTCTTAAGGTAAAAGACCAAACTGAAGTAACTAACCTATATTTGATGCATATATAGAGATCTATTTACTGTTACTCAGATGAATTTGAAAACCTGGAAGAAATGGATAATTTTCTTAGAAAATCTAATTTACCACTACTGACCCCAGACAAGATTTTTAAAAATCTAAATATCGTATTTCCATAGAAGAAATATAGCAATCTTAGGGGAGTAGTAAAAAAAAGAAGCAAGAATAGATCATTTCACAGAAGAATTCTATCTGACTTAGAGCTGAAAATTTTCATGTCCTTAAAACTGTTCTAAAACATTATGGGGAAGAAAAAAACACTTTCAAATGCTTTGTATGCAGTCTTCATAATGCATGAACTTGTTATTACAGTTTAGTTAACTAACACTAGCCCCTCAACAACAAGGTTCAAATTTCAGTAACTATGATGTATTAACCATGAGTCATTGCATAAAGTAAACACTTCACTGCTAGGTTTCAGTCCACAAATCTCTATGTACATAACAGATATGCATTATGACCAGTGTCCCTCATGTCACCTCTTTCAAAGTCTGTTGGTGACAGGTCACTGAGTATCTATCACTCACTTTATGCACAGACAGCAAAACATGAAATTGTGTTGTTTCTTTGTCTCCCGATGACAAACCCCTGTATCATTTTTTAATAATCAAAAGAGGAAATTAGCCAACAAAGATTTAAGTATAGCAAGGACATGAAAATTGATGATGCTAGAGTAGAATTGGATGTGAGAAGATTTAAAAGTAGCAGCACAAAGACAGGGTAAGATCCGGGCCTCCATGAAGTTGTAGTACAAACTGTGTTAGCAAAGTTTGATAAATATAAAAAACAAACCAAAGTTGTTTTAATATCTTCTAAAATGTGCAAAGGACAGGAAGCCACTATGGTTGAAACCATATACAGCCATTATGAGAAGACTAAAGTTTATTCCACTGCCAATAAAGGTGGATTTCTTTGTCTTAGGAGTTGGCACAAATTGGTTAATATTATCTGGTGAAACCATTAACACAGCTCTGGATGCTGCTGAGAAATGTGCACCCAGACTGCAAAGGTTATTAAGATCTCTTTGCATGGTTTCAGTGTGCGGGTCACTTTTATGTTTTCATACTACAGTGAAAAACGAGGACTCCCTGTATAAATGGGTACCAACTTAATGACAAAGAAAATACTGGACCTATAGACTGATCTTACTTATGATTTTTGATTCAAAAAATCTTAAGTAAATATTGGCAACCAGAAACCAACATTACATTAAAAAATATTTTATCATAACCAATGGGGTTATTCCAGGAATTCAAGCATGGTTCAATATTGGGAAAGCTATTTATATAGTAGTTCTTTTAATTATATATCTAAAAAGAAATGTATATATCCTTCATGGATTCTGAAAAGACACTTGATGAGCTACAACAAGAGTTCTTGATAAAAACACTATAGAAATAGGATAAAATATATTTCTGAGCATAAAAGTCATTTTTATGCTTAATAAAGAAATAGGAGATACAGCCCGCTAAAGTCAAGAATAAATCAAGAAAATTCACTATCATCATTCTTACTTAATATTGTTCTAAGTTAGTAGCCAATACAATTAGAAAAAGAAGAAAAAAGGGTTGAGTTTGTAATGAAGCAGGGGACGTTATCACTATGTGTAGACACTGTCATCATATACTTGGAAAAGTCCAAGTGAATCAACTGAAAAACCACCCTAAGCAACTAAAGATTTCAGTAAAGCAGGGAAGCACACAGTTAATATGTATTTTCCGCAGTTTTCACATATACACGCAATAACCAAGTGCAACACACAGTGGAAGAAATTCACAAAAATGACATTTTTGGGGTCTGTCAGAACGACAAAAATCCCCAAATTCGATCTTTTAAAACCTTCCCTTTTCGAAAATCCACGAGAAAACAGGCGAGCTCCTTCACTGCAGAAGGCAGTATATGCTGCTACGATCTCTATAGAAAGCAATTTACTTACTACGTAATGAAAAAGAGCCAAAGGACAATAAAAATTGCAATGTGGACCAAATGAACAACACTGGCTTCCTCTTCTTCTCATCTTACCTTTATTGGATGGAGGCACTTTTCACCAAGTTTTGAGAAAAAAGATGTCTTTAGAACTACACTGACCACTGATATCACACGTGGCCCCTGTGGTCGTCCCTAAATAATTATTTTAAAAACAGAATGGATAGAAAGGGAAAAGGACCAGGGCTGTGACTTCAATTTTCTTGTGTTTATAGTAAAAGCTCTAATTTTTTTCATGGGAAGAGCTTTCCATTGATG